CAGGAACACCTCCAGCCACAAGGAGGCATCTGCACACAGCTCAAACAGCTCCAGCTCTGGGTCACACCAGCTCCTCATCTGATAAGGCCTGAAGAGCCAGCCAGAACAAGGAAGAAGATGTTCGCTCCCTGAGTCATCGCAGCTGAAAGATTTCGCCCCTGGGAAGAAAAGTTTCTGCTTCCAAAAGGAAATAACGCCGTTGTCAGCGTGTAGACTTCCCCATCACAAATCCCATCAGATCCCCATGAAGACAGGGACAGACAGACGCGTACGTCAAGAGGGATTAAACACACACCACTCTCTAACCATCAAACACATTTCATTAGCGCGGATTACCATCATTACATTTTCCAATCCTCCGTTTTTCCAAATAAAACCCAACATCTCTATTACATTTTAATTGAGCTGGTGGATTTGAAGTTGCTTCTTAGACGACGATAAAACGCTCGTCCTCTGACTTTACGAGATGTCGAGTTTCCTCGTTCACATTTCCTGCTAATTACGTGTGAGATTTGCTGGCGGTGGATAAAAGAGCCGAGCGGGGGGTGGGGGGTTGGGGGGGGGGGGGGCTGGGTCCCAGGAAGCAGAGGAAGAGTTTGATGGAAAGACAGAGGCTCCTAATGAGAATCAGAGTGGTTCAACTTTCCAGCCCGCCGCCGATCCTCGCCCTTACCCCACACCGCCACCGACCACAGCACACAGCTGGCGCTGCGCTCCCAGGCGTGACGTGAACAGAGTGATGAGTGTCAGTGCAGATGTGTGTGTTAACGTGAAATCCCTAAACCTTAGATTATCCTTATTCACACACTACTGTTGTAGTGGTCTTAATTAAAAAAAAAAAAAAGTATCCACATTAATAAAGGAGCAACGCCACATTAGGAGAGTTTTACCTTAAAAATGCCCACCCAGTCTTTGGGGTGGGGGGTGATGTAAGGGGTCATGGTGTAACGGCACTCTAGAGGAGCCTGGGGCAGGAAGCTCTTCCCCACATCCTGGAAAATGACATGGGCAAAGTTGGATGTCTCCATGATGCTGACGCTGCTGCCGGGCGATGAATCCACCACCTGGAAGGATGACATGGCACCCTGGTGGTCACTTCACCTGCCTGGAGAAATCAGGAAGGGTCAAAGGAAAGTCCCACACACAAACACATGCATGTGTGTTCACTGCAGGACTGAACACAACAGTGCCACTTCTATACTAACGAAAAGCTACATAATGACATAATTGGTCGCCTGGCCTTTCCGACAGCTGGCCCGTGTCATCAACGGTCTCATAAAAAAAATCACCTTGCTAGGGAAAGCTGCAGAGTTTCTGTGGATTCCTGCAGAATCTCGGTCAAGTCAGAGATCATGGTGAGAAAGTTCAGCAGGGGTCAGCCTAAGAAAGGCCGGGAATTTTGTTCAGTTTATGCAGGAAAACAAAACTTATTGTTTGCTTTTGTTATTTCCGTCTAAAGCCAGAGTTCCAACACTGATGAGGTGTGTGTATGATGCACACATTTAGCTTCCTTGTCTGATAGGGAGCCTAAGTCTCCTCCCTTTCCGGCCGGCTCACGGGTCCCTGGAAGAACGAAAAAATGAACGGGGCTGAAAGAGTTATTGTCTAATCCGCTTGGCCTTACGCCCTGGATCACACATATGTTGTACTGCAATTTAAACACACAGTAATGATGGGTGTTTCGACCACGTCAGTCACGTACTTTTAGATTTATTAGCTCATAAAAGTTCATAAATTGCACGACTACAAACCAGAAGTCGGTACGTCGCATACGTGACTTCACCACATGATCTCCTCTCCCCTAGCGTGGCTGCTACTTACCACATGGCCAGATTTATGGTATCCTCCTGATTTGAAGTTCGCTGAACTTACAGCCATTTTCTCCCCGTTTTCCCTGTGTCCGGTTGGATGACGCCACTTTGGTGATGCACATTTGTAGTCCTGGACTTATTTTCACACTAAGCCTAAAATAGCGTCCTCCCCATTTGAAAATAAGCGCCTACTTGGTATCAGAATGAATCTATAAAAGTCATGAACATCATATGTGAAATCCATGACACACAGCAAGCAGAATTAGAAAACAGCGTTTTTAGCCGAGTTGACTTGCATTCATGTTTTCATTCTTCCGGGACCCATGGTGCTCCATATAGAGGTAAATATTACTGCTCTATAACCAGCTACAGGACCTAAGAACTAAACAAGACACGAAAAGTTAAAGTCCCATAGTCATCATCACACACTGGTGAAATTCATCCCCATGTAGAAGAGCGGTGAGCTGCAGCCGTGGCTCCGCTCGGGAACTAATTGGTGGTTTAACCCAATCCAACCCCTTAAAGCTGCGTGTCGAGCAGAGAGGCATTAGGTCCCACTGTTAAAGTCTTTAGTATGACCTGGCCGAGAACCCTTGGCGGACACTCTACCACTAGGCCACTGAGCAGGTCAAAAGAGAAAAGACTAAGCAGGTAAATATGAAGGGTGTGAGCCTCAACATGTGACCAGTTAGCAGCACACGGCTCTCCTAAATGACATACATATCCTACATGTTCAGCAGCATGACTTATACGTGTGCTTCTGAGCTTTTGCCTTCTCGTATTCAACCTGTCATGGTGGAAAAAGGTATGGACGTTTATGGAAAGCCAGTTTGTGATATAAGACTTAGATCTTCAAAACAAAAACCTTTGAGTCGCTCTGTCAAAACAAACTTGTCAGCGATCCACGAAGCGGTTTACTGTGCGTTGGGGTGGTGCTGTAGCCATTACATGTGGAGACGCTCCGATCCGTTAACGTGATCGGAAATCAGACCCGATCCTGTGACTTTCAAGCCATCAGAATCGGGTGGAAAAGATCGGATTCAGTAAGATTTCACTAACGACACAAGGTGATAACTTTTCAACTGTATTTTGAATTAGAGAGCCGATGGACTGCAGTTATCTGTCACTGTAAAAATGTCCAAATGTTTGTGGGTAAGAAAAGCATTCTAGATGTATGGAAGGTTCTTCTTACCTGTGAAACTCTGAATTTCAGACATACACAAAGCTAACTGATTATCATCACATTTAAACTACTTTTATTTTTGAGCATCCTGGGTTACTTTAGATTTTTACAAATAATCTCAGTTGATTAAATTAGTTAAAATGACATCTTAACAAAAATAAATGCTGCTGACGTAATAAAAGGAGCTTAGCCTAGTTGATTACACCGACGTGCCACTGTCCAGTCATCTTCCTCTGCTTGACAACGGGGCCTAAATAAATCCCACAAGCACCGAGCATGACTCAGCTCTGGTTTAAATGAACTATCATACAAGATAAAAACACGTGACTAGCTGAAGAAGGGCCGACATAAATGCCGTCCACCCAGCCTTATCCTAATAGAGAGGATGCTAGCATTAGCATGAGGACAGGCCATGTTGTCAAGTCACCGCTCGGCCAAACGATACCAACAGCCACACGCGTTGAACTTGGATTAAAAATACTACCTCCTCAAGTCATCGCCGATAGTGAATAATGTTTCATTTCTTTCTGTTTGAATCGATGTTTTCCACTCCTGAGAGGCTCTGAGCTCTGACGGTGATGCGAATGCTCCGCAATGAGATGAGGATGCTCCACTTCCGGGATGCTGAGCAGTACCAAGTGATGCTGACAACCGAGTGACTGTTTCCGACCACAAACCCAGTTATCATTACTTTACTAAAATTGTCAGACCAGTCATCTTTTACTGGTGGCTCGTGTTCGTCGTCATTTTTAATCTACGTTGGTATGTTTACGAGCAGCTGAGATATTTTGTAATAAAATAATTAATATTACTTTTCCTGCCAGATAAAATAATACTCAAGGAAACTGTTTTATGCACCCATTATAAGTTGTCTTTAGAGTGAATAAAGTGGTAAATTAGATCTAAAGGGCACTTTGAAGTAAAATCACAGGAAGTCCCGCCTTTGCCTTACTCCTATTGGCTCTGCTAACCTAGTCTGCGCTCTGATTGGTTACAATCTCAGCTAGCTGTCCGGGTTTGGCGGCTTGACAGCTGTCACCGGTACACCGAGGTCATAAGGAGAGAAGCATGGCTGCGTTGGCTAGAGCGTCTCGATATGTGTTCAGGTGGAATAAACAAGTCGACCCTACCTTCGGTAATGTATTCCTTTGGGTTGTCATTTGTCTCGTGCAGCTTCTTCCGCTGGCAGCGGGCGTTTAAACGGAATGCTGCAGCTTTTAGCTGGTTTTTCAGCCCCTCATAACAAAATAGATGTAACAGAAACAGTCCCTCAGTTCATCCCTGCTCCTAAAGAGCGCGTGCATCGAACAGTGCAGCACAGGCATAGGCGTCATTTTAACCGGGGACGCCGGGGACAAGTCCCCGGCAAAATTTGTGATTGGCAGCTGTGTCCCCCCCACTTTCAAAAAAGCCTGCTGATGAGGATTTTTGTTTTACCAGCTCAGATCTTAAACCAGGGGTCAGCAACCTGTTCCCATCAAAGAGCCATTATTACCCGTTTCCCACAGTAAAGAAAACACCGCAGCAGCCGCGGCGTTGTGGGCGGGGCCTTGCCTCAGACAGCAGAGAGCTGCTCACAACAGGTGACAGCAGCCGGTACCGGTCGCTCGCATGGGCGTTGCACCGGTGGGGGATTCAACACCCACACTTTTCCAGCTGTTTTGCTCACCTCCACACCAGTCTGGTTTCTTTACGTCGCACTCACTCTGTTTGCCTCATCTCCTTCTTCACCTCCACTTCTGACAGCCGATGTCGGGTTTCCAGGAGAGGGAGGGACGGAAGAGCTCGACTGAATTCATCATTTTACATCTTGACATTAGCTGTACAAAGTCTGAGTTTGATAAAGTGAAGAACAACCATTTGCAGAGGTTTATAACAGGCGCGGTGCCAGGTTTTCATTTTTGGGTGGGCCACAGTAATTTTGGACGGACCTTAATAAGCAGTGACTTAATTGAAGCAGGCAGGTCGCGCTAGAAAATTTAGTTTCAAAAGACGTCATAAATGTGTTCCCCCGTCATTTTTATTTCTAAAATATGAAGTAAAAACTCACAATTTAATTTTCATTCATTTGTCATTAATATGTAGTCTACACCCGTGCGTTAAGTGGACCATCTTCCAGTAAAAGCAAAGCATCCAGCCCACCTCTCCAAATGCGTAAAATGTGCATCAGCCGCTAGTTAGGCGCGCCGCGCGCACCGTCAGCTATCGGCCCAGACAAGAGCAGAGCAAATAGACAGAATAGAGGATAATTGTGTCTGGATGTGGATGGAGATTACATTTTACAGCAGCCTGATCATCATTTAAACACGTAAACCATCACCTGACTTCTAGTCCACGCTATCAGCATTATTTTAATTGGTGTGTGTGTGTGTGTGTGTGTGTGTGTGTGTGTGTGTGTGTGTGTGTGTGTGTGTGTGTGTGTGTGTGTGTGTGTGTGTGTGTTCCACTTCAAACACTGGTCTAACCAACCAGACCAGCGTGTCCAGTAACATATTAATGTTACAATTAAACAGTTTCACTTCATGTAGGCTAGGAACATTTCACCTGCCGTTGCCCGACCGCTTCTGCTCCACATGAACTTTGTGCGTGATCAAATGTCTCTACAGGAGCTTTCTGAGCTGAAGAGGCGACTGGATGCGTCATGCGTCTCCATATTAGAGACGGGAACAAGCGCTGTTCAGCCAAAGTTTCATAATTTCATAAAAATAACATTTTTCCAAGTGACACATCCCTCAGAGAGACCGGGTTTCCAGACCGCTTCAGTGGGAGGAAATCAACCAACATCCTTGAGTTTATCCATCAAAATAAAAGTCAAATGGAAATATCTGTAACCTGTCATTTAACTCTTTTGCCTTCTTGTGAAGATTGTTGCAAAGAGAAACAACTAAACTTGATTAACCCCAGAGCCACGCGCACTGCGCTGTACGTCGTGACTGTAAATGAGGGGGAAACGATTTAATCGGATCCTTTTCTCTTCAACATGGTTTAATATAAAGTTTCATTCAGTACAAACTTTAGTTATACCAATCTAACGAGACAGAGCCTGGATTTGTATTCTGAACAGTTTAAACATGTTTAAAACGGAGACATGCGTGACTCGTCTAAAATTCGCACCTGCTCCGCTATTATGGAAATTAAACTAACAAGATGAATAACATGAACTTATTTTAGGCACAGACAACATCCCCCACACTTTTGAAAAGCTTGCAACGCGCCTGGTCGCTCGTGTACGTCAAAGTTATCTTTCATAAGACGATAATCAATAAAACGATTTATATAAAGATGATCCAGAAGTTGTAGCCCGTCTCTGCCGACAATATTTTGATATTTTTCACCCTGTTGGTGGTTTTACTGAGCAGGTGCCACTTTTGTCACACGCTTCTTTTTAAAACATGTTTAGACTGTTCAGAATACAAATCCGGGCTCTGTCACGTTTGATTGTTGTAATTAAACTATGTAGGTGGGGAAGGTCAGAAAGCAGCTCAGAAGCGCCTATTATTACGCACAAGCGTGACGCGTCAACCCGGTCTCACAGCAAGACCGGGTTGGAACTGTTCAGGTTTACGCAGACAATCTTTACATTTAGAATTGGCATACAGATGTAAAATTAATGCAGTAAAATATAAAGCATTTTATTTAAATATCCATTCATTATTTTACAAGCACAGGGAGCCGCATCAGATGGATGGACGAGCCGCGGGTTGCCAACCCCTGTGCTAGCCTACTTTATTGTCCCCAGCAATTTTTAAACCCCACTCAAGTGTATGGCTATTGTCCCCAGCAATTCTGAAAACAAACTGACGCCCTTGAGCACAGGGGAACTGACAGCTAATTTAAACCTGTTATATGAGTTAGACCTCTGTAGCACTCACCTTTACCTGTTGAAAGTGGTTCATTAGGCTGTCACTTAGATTGCACCACAGCCACACAGACTAATTCATCCAGAACACCCCACTGATCCCAGTTAAAGGAGGAGCTGGGTTTTCGCCTTGATTTCTCCTTTTTATATAAATATACCATCTGTTTTTATAAATGTGCCTTTTTAAATAACAACAGTTTATTTATGTAAATTTTACTTACAAATTGGTGCAGTTCCATGATTCAGTCTATAGTTTTCTCCTTGATTTTCCACATTCCTCTGTGTCCTTTGTTTTAATTCTTTTGTAAACAAAGTAGAAGATTTGTTTTTAGCTTCTTTATTTTATTTTTTATTATTATTTTTTTGCTGACAGGTAACGCTGTTGCCTTCCTCAGAGCAGCCGCAAATGCAAAAAAAAAAAAAAAAAAGTTAAAACAAATCATCTACTACGCTTTGGATTACTGAATTTATTTGAAGTATGTGTAAAGAAATGTTTAGCTTTGATGTCTTTAGGAAGAATTAAGCGGCGTTGAGGACAAAGTGACGAAGCACCACCTCAGCCAGTCAGAAGCGTTTGTGATGCTGTTTCTTATCTCAAGCCCGGTCTGATGGGGCTAACATCCAGTTAGAATCATGCCAGCTCTATAACATTTCTGGTTGCATTGTAGTCACTAAGTGACCTGATTGTGTCTCGATTTGTTCCCAATTCGGTTGCAACTCCTACAGTTTTTCCTCTATTTTCTGACTCATCTAATCTCAACGGAGAAGGGCTCCAGATGCGCGATGCCACGCTGTCCGGGGTTTCAGCGACGTGAGATCATGGCCCTGTGACTCACTCGAGGAAATCAAGAATTTTCACAAAACTTTTCAGTCATTTTTTGAAACTTCTTTGCAAATTATGTTTATAATTACTCACCAGCTTTCGAAACTCATCGTATTTGTTATCAGCGCATCACTGAAGTCAAACTGAACGTTCTCGTGATCTGCTTTGCAGTCTGTACCTGATATCTTACGGCATCTTTTAAATGTTTGCTAAAATGACTCAAAGCTGATTGTTTGGGGCTTCTTACGCAGACTTAATCCTATTCTTCTCGTCCGTCTGGCTGATTTATTTCTGGTCTCCACTCCCTCTGGTTTAAGTCGTCGTTTGTTTTTTTGTTAGCGCTGTCAACACGATCGATGGCCTCGAAGACGCCCGTGGGATTCGTTGGACTGGGTAACATGGGCAGTCCCATGGCCACAAACCTGTTAAAGAATGGTTATCCTGTCATCGCCACTGACGTCTTCCCAGGATCTTGCAAAGAGATACAAGATTTGGGTGCACATGTGAGAAGCTTCTTGTACGTCTTCCATGCATTATGACCCTTTAGCATCAGTGGTTGAGTGTGATGGTGACTCTTAGGTGGTGGACTCTCCAGCAGACGTGGCTGATAAATCAGACCGCATCATCACCATGCTGCCATCCAGTCCCGATGTCATAGACGTCTTCACAGGCCCAAGCGGCATCCTAAAGTAGGCACACTCTTTGCATGGTGTTAGCAGAGAAAACTCTTTCTGTTGTACATCATATTTATGCTTTCTGGCTTCTTTGGTTCAGAAAAGTGAAGAAAGGGACGCTGTTGATCGACTCATCCACCATCGATCCTGCTGTCTCTAAGGAGATGTCAGTAGCTGCAGAGAAGATGGGTGCTGTGTTCATGGACGCCCCAGTGTCTGGAGGTGAGCACACAGCTTGGTTCTCTGTTTTGAAGCATTTGCAGGATCTATCCCAAATGTGTTTTTTTATGTGAATTTGTGTGTTTTTACAACATGATGTATTTAAATAATAAAGAAGATGCAGCAGTAGAACCTGTTGCACCACACAGCTCCCTCTAAAACAAACAAACAAACAAAAAACAACAAATAAAACATTCTTTTTCATCTGGTCAAAGTTCCATTTGTTTATTTGACCTAATATCTGGAGATAAACCCGGGGATTGAACCAGGATGCGAGAACTGCGGCAGTGACCAAAAATAATGTCCGTGTCTTGCCGTCATCCGTAGGTTTTTGAAGAGCTGATTTGAAGCCCTGTGGGCGGTTCCCATGACTGCCGTCTTGGCTGCGTCGTGCGTCTCGTCACTCCTGGAAAATACAAAAATGGGGCAGAGAGCAGGGCTGTGACTGTGGGGGCATTTTGACCTGATGAAGCTACGAGCTAACCAAAGCTAATGGAGGTTGGCGAACGCTTTTAGCCAGAAAACGGCCTTCTGCTACCCACTGCCTCCTGGGCTGTAACACTTTTTATGTGAGATCAAGGCTGAGGCCTTCCCTGGAGCAAGCAGGAGGCTAGCTGTTAGCACTAGCGCTGACGACATCTGCTACCTGCTGCTCTAAAATGGACACGCCCCTAAATATTGTTGCAAATTTAAAAATGTTCTGTTGTTTTCACACTTTTTTGGGGGGATCCAAGTATGATGATGTCTTTGTAAAAGTACAAATCATCACTTTAAGCTCTGAATGACCCAAAAACATCACAGAATTATGATTTGAGTCATTTCTTAGGCAGTCACATTGTGGAAGAGACCAGAACCAAAGACTCCTAGTTCCCATCCCGGGATCAGAACGGGAAAAGCCTTTAGGATGAAACGAGAGAAGACAAGCTTCTAGAGCTCGAGAATCAGGACCTTTAAAGTGTCTCGTCTCTGATTAAGCAGGTTCTGACCAAAGTGATGAGATTTTTTGTCTTGTACAGTGAAATATTTAAAACAGATTTAAGTTCTGATCATCAATCATCAGCAGTAAGAGACTCGTCTATTCCTGGAAGTTTTGATCAGAGATAATTTTATGAATGGGTACAGATTTCCCAGCTGCCTCTGAGGCTCAAATGGCTACGGGCGAGGGACGTTGTTGGGGACAGTGTCTGTATCGAAGGCAACGTTTGACAGCTAGTTTGCTAATTTGAGAAAAGTTGGGTCTGTGACCCTTCAGCCTTGGATGTGACCTGCCTTCCACTCTTGTGTATCCAAACTACAGAACCCTTTGGGTTAGTGCTCAGACATGGGTCATAATTACTGAGCAGACCAGCCATGGTGCCCTCATGAGGGTTTGATTGCTGCCTTTGACTGGGGGGTCTTAAAGGCGAGGTTAAGGTTTTAAGTCCTCATTATGTTGGCGCTGTCTCCTCCTGATGGCTCCTTGACAGAGCACAGGATCGCCATTCGTCCTTAATGGGCTGAGCCACTGCGGAGAATCCCGTGTCAGGGCTCTTCATGTTGATGGAGCCGTAATGGCGGCTATCCCATGTTAGTGCCTTTCATGTCAGATAAAGAGTCATAAAGAAGAGAGAAACCGCCCTCACAGGGAGACGAGAGGAGGGAGATAAGACATGAAGGAGCTACGTTGCAGTTAAACCATTCCTCCTCCTTCTTCTCTCCATCTTTCTTCTTTCACTCATTTTTTCTGCTTTTCAACATTCTAGCACTCCCACAAACACCATCTTCACTCTGTATCACTCCATCTTTAAATATTGCATAAACCAGACGGTGTTTCCCACCTGGCTGCAGACAAACACAGGCTCGGCCCTTTTCCCGTGTTTACCAGCTGGCGTCTGCTGAACTCACTGACTGCAGTTAGGGAGATCAGAGCCTTTAAGCCTGTTACTCTCCCCATTACACGTGCACTGTTTACAGACTGTAGACGGGGCTGGTGTGTGAGCAGCACTGTCGAAGCAACCACACACACACACACACACACGCACACACACACACACACACACACACACACACACACACACACACACACACACACACACACACACACACACACACACACACACACACACACACACACACACACACACTTACTTAACTAAGCCTGTTTTACTAGCCTGAGAAGACCAATGATTTACCTGCTTCCTCTGGTTTCTGCGGGCTGTCTCCCTCCCCATGCACACGTGCATCACTTTGAGGAGATTCCTTATTTGAATACTTTATGCAGAAAAGTCAGAAGCAAACTGTGAAACTTTCATGCATAAAACGAAAATAACCTTAAAAAGGAAAATGCGTCCACATTATTTTGTATTAAACATATTTTTCAGCCCCTCTAGAGTAATAACGTGTGGTCCTGCTGGCACAAACCAAACCTGTCATGAAAAACCGTTTTCATGTTTGACCACTCGGTGGGACATTTCAGAGCCGTATCACTCTCCATGCCTGCCCCCCCTTCACTTCCTCCTTTTAGGGTTACAATCTTTGCTCCAACCAGGAGATGGCACCCTACCCAAACGGGGCACTGCCAGCGTTTTGCTGCTTGTAGGATGTGAATGTTCTAGAAGAACAAACTACTGATACAATCAGCTCTCTTGGATGTGGCTGTCGGACTTTGTAGTCTGGGATTTTTATTTCAGCTAAAATTCCTCCCAACTTTGACGTTTGATGTGCTGCACAGCTGCCGCTGGTCATGTTTACACATAATGATCTGGATCAACCATTGTGGCATTTTAGAGACTGGAGCTTTTTACAACGGCAGCGTTACAGACTATCCATTAGCTCATTGATCCCGTCAAATATAAACTCTGTTTCTTCCAACAGAGGCTGTTCAGTAAGCGATTACACTAAGATGGTAATTATTTATGCCTTTAACGTAGAAACGTTCATTTTGTAAGACGGACCAACCATCTCAGGTCTGCTGAGTTGCGGGTTTCAGGCTTGAGTTTGTTACAAACGAATCCCCTCTGTGTGCTGTGAGGTGGCTCCTTTCACACAGAAATCCCTGTTTTGTGTATTGTGCGCGTCACTGGAGGTTTGGCAGTCAACCGTAGGATCTGAATTGTGGAGTCATAACCTGCCTATTTTAAAAAATTCAATCCATTTTCCCACGATGCCAGTTTCTGTTTGACCACTGCCTTGGCTTTAGCCATACACAAGCCAGCTGTGTCCTAACACACACACACACACACACACACACACACACACACACACACACACACACACTTGTACAGACGGAGTCACATTAGCACAGACGCCGATCCTACAGGCATGCTAACGTTGCATTTGCACCACCGTCTGGTGTCATTAAAAACGTCCGCATGCAACGCTGACCCACAACAAAACAAGCTCTGATGTCACAGGCTCGGGCTGCTGGCACGACAACGGCAAAAAAAGGAGGTCTGGCCAACAAGTGGCGGGGCCGTTAGCAGTAATTACCCAGAATGCCTGTGTTTTGTGTCTCTGTGCCCATGGTGGGCTGCCACATTGCTAACGCACGATGACTTTAAACAGGCCCTCAAAGCTCTTTCATTGCATTCTTCTCAAGAGCTGGGAAAGTCAGAGCTGGGCTCAAATGAAAGCAAAAGGAGCGTAGCTGCTGTGGGTCGTGAGCTCTGAGGCTAATGCTGCTTGTTTGTGAGGTCTTCAAGTCCTCGGCTAACTATCTGTTTAGGTCGGAGCTCAGCAGACCCACACCACATCAACTACAGCCAGGTTTTGTAATGTGTCATTTGCTGAGAGCTTGAGCGTCACCCTCCAGTCTGTAGGTGCTTGTTCAGACTGAGGCTGGCACCAGTTAGCTCCTGCTGACGGATGGAGACCCCTTCTAACCCACAAACATGAAGCTTCCACCACAACAAGCCCTCTAGGAATTAAAGTGTAATCTTGATGGGAGAATCACCACGTGGCTCAGTGGTCTAGTGGTAGAGTGTCCGCCCTGAGACTGGGAGATCAGGGTTTGATTCCTGGTTGGGTCATACCAAGGACTATAAAAAATGGGACCCAATTCCTCCCTGCTTGACACTCAGCATTAAGGGGTGGATTGGGGGGTTAAACCACCAAATGGTTCCCGAGCGCGGCTGTGTCTGCAGCTCACCACTCCCCCAGGGGATGGGTCAAATGCGGAGAACAAATTTTGCACACACATCAGTGTGTGTGACAGCTGATGGGACTTTAACTTTAACTTTGTAATCTTTTAATCTTTAGAAAACATGAAACAGTTTTTCAGAGTCGTCTAATTATGACATCCATCCCTGTAGACAACAGGCTGACCTTGCTTTTCCAGGTTTTTAGGATGAAATGGAAGCCGTATTGCTGGGATCTACATCTTCTTCTCAGTTTGATGAAGATTTTAGAATGAAAGAAGGCGGAGCCTATGTGTGAGGGTTGCTGTATGGAGCTGAAGGCTTCTTTTGCATGGTTGATGGATAATCAATCAATCAATCAATCAATCAAAGCTTTATTTATAAAGCGCCTTCCGCAACCCTGTCAGGAAGCCCAAGGCGCTGAACATGGTAAAGTAGAAGTACAAATATAGTGAATAAATCAAAAATAAAAGCAATTCAAATATAAAAGCAAATTAAATTACTGAATACAAATTACAAAAAATGGTGAAACATTCTAGTACAGGACAGATGGGTAAAACAAGGGATAGAGTGAACCAATGAAAACTGTGAAAGAAATTCAACGTGAAAGAGGGCCGAATCAAACATGTATAAATAAACATGGATAAACACCAACTGCAGCATTTGGGCAGTTGTTGATCAGAAACATTTTCTATGATCTAGGTCTGTATAGGCCTCTTTATTGTCTAGTTCACCTCATTTGCTGGTTCTTTACTTCCAGGGGAACATGACTGGTCCCATTCAAAAGCCTGATTTATATACTTCTCCATCGCCTGCCTTTTGGAGTCCTGTGCATGCACTGACAGAGACGTTTTCCCTTTGGACTTCACCACCTGGGAAGTGTTAAAG